TTCCAATAGAAGGCAAACAAAAAAAAAACAACTGGACAAAATTCCAGAACTAGACGAAAGAAATTTTATTGAACTTCCTGAAGAAAACGGAAGAAACTTCCTAAGGCAGATTGAAAAAAAGATCTGGAGAAACTCGGAAACCAGAGCGCTTACGGAACAGTCGAAAGAAACAAGAACATAATTCCGGAAGAAAGAGCTCTTGGGGGATGGTCTAATGATCCAGAAAATTTTCCAAATAATCATAAAACATCCCTGAAGACTCCGCAATGCCCCTGATGTTTTTGGAACATTCCTGAAATTTACTTAGGAATATTCCATATTTCCTCGGAATTCCTTAAAAGTTCTTAAAATTTTCCTTAAGTGAATAGGGCTGATTAAGTTAAAAGGAAGATTGCGAAATTTCTCAAGCGCACAATTTTCTTGAATTTATTGTTACACCAGCATTTAAGTTCTCTGATCTTCCCGTTTTCTAATTTTTAAAAGTTATCGACACTGCCATTAATAAGCACGGAACTTCCCATAAAATGTTCTCACAAAGTGCCAAATAACGTTTCTTAAATTTGCAGCCCTTCGGAACATTGCTGAAGTTTTCGGAAATTGCCTGAGTTTCTTGGAACTCCCTTAAAGTACAGCGATTGCCTTGAAATTTATTGACCTGTTCTGATGTTCTCGGAGCTTCCTAAAGTTCTCTCAGGTCTCCTGAAACTAATGGAATCTCCTGAAAACCATTAAATTTTTCCAGAAGTTCTTTGGACTTGTGAAGTATCCAAAATATTTATGATGTTTCCTTAAGTTCACTGGAGTTTGCTGGACTTTCCTAAAATTTCCGGGTTTTAGAATTTTAACAGAAGTTATTGAAACATGCTTTAATTTATCGAAACTTACTCACAAGTCTGGACTTTTCTGAAGTTTTAGAACTACTTAAAAGTTCCTGCAGCTAGTGTGGATCCGCAATCAAAATCTGGAAGCATCCCTGAAGTTCCGGGAAAGTTGAAAAATAAAAACTAACGGGAGAAGATGGAAGAAACATTTGAGCAAATGGTGAAGCTTCCAAGGGAAGTCGAAATAAGTTTTCGAGAGGAATCGAAAAATAATTTACGATATAAGGTGGAAAAAAATTCCAGGGGAACGTTGGAAGAAAATTCAGGAAGTTGATAATGTTTAAAAAGTATTTTCTGATTCCTCCGGAATTACCAGAAAGAGCCATCGATTGTTTATCGATTCATGGGTAGCCTAAAACGGTGAGTACATTGAAACATTAATCTAAAGAGTATCCATAAGACATTTTTAAAGATGATTTTTTTAAAGAATTTGAAAGGCTCAAACAATTTAAGATATTCAAAAAGTCTCTCACAATAATTTTCTCGGAAATTTGAGCGCGGGCAGGCAATAATCATTTTGATTATTTAAAAAAATCGGTATAAATCGGTATAAAACCTCAAAAATCGGTATTCTGAGGAACCTTATCTGTATATTGGCAAAATACCAATATACAGATAAGGTTCAGAAATCGGTATAAATACATATAAATCGGTATATCTGGCAACGCTGCTCCCAGCTATACCTCGGGGAAATTTTCTCTCCTACGTGCAATATATATTTCAAAAGTGACAGTGATTTTAAGGTGTCCGGATTAATGTGGATACAGACCCTATAATGCCTATAATTGAATATCAGTCCCATATGGAAAGAGAACACGCAAACCAAAAATCTATTACAATGAATGTTAGTTTCAGTTCCTATCATCCTCTGTTCATGAACATCGCAACGAATGTTAGGAATTGACCATGCAGGCGATGTAATGGTTTTTTGTCTTTTTTTATTTCGTGTTCCATCTACGCTTTCGACTATACCAGTAAGCTTGTAGAACGACGGACATTGTAGAACATTGTAGAACGACGCACACACTTGTCTCGAATCTCTCCAGCAGAAAAAGCATACGAAGTCGAGCATGCGAGAAAATGAGCGCTTCATGTTTGCTTTTAGGCTGCCCGTTATTCAGAAGCATGGAGAGAGCAGTGGAGAAAGCATAGGTCTGATAGTCGCAACGTCCGTGGTTCGAGTCCAGTCGGCAACCTTTTTTCTATTTTTTTTTTCGACATAATTAATTTCACTCACTAATACACTCCACATTTTTCGGTCTCCAATTTTCTTACATCGGACCGCAGCACAGTGGCACGAATATGAATAAAGACGGTCAAAAATATTTTCTACCCTTTTTCGACGTTTTAGAGACTGGGTGTTCTGGGAGAAGTTGCTCAAAATTATAACTTGCATCTTTTGAAATACACACCTGAATAATTTTTAAGCTAGTATTACACATCCAAATTCTAACTTTTTCCAGTTACGAGATAATGGTTCCATGTCTTGGACAAAGTTGCAGAGCAGTTAATTTCATGAACATTTGCTAAAGACACCAAATTTCTACATCATAACTCTGTAGAGCTATAATAGGTTTTCTTTTATGACTACCTTAATATTGGTTTTTTAAGTTAATTAGTGCTTTTTTCAAATTTGATCAATTTATCATGTTCTAAGAAATTGTTGGCATCATTAAAATATACAACTTTGCTGAATACACCAATGCTTTTCATTGACATCCATGTGATATACAGCCCATCAAGCGTTTTTGTGACGTCATATTCAACGGCTCGAAAAGAGGGTGGGCGGGCCCTGACGGGGTCTAAAACTGGTTGTATTTTGAAGATTACCTTATAAAATAGTACTTCTGAAAATTTCAGCGTTGGGTACTGAGGGGTACCTAGCCAAATCTCGATTCGAAAATGTCAATATTATATACAGTCCATCAGACGGTTTTGTGACGCCATATTGAACGGCCCGAAAAGATGGCAGGTGGCCCCTGGCAGGGTTTAAAACCGATTGAATTTCGAAGATTACATTATAAAATAGTGCTCCTTAAAAATTCAGCGTTGGGAGCTATGAATCAATGATTTTAACCTACACATGTTTGAACTTGCAAATTATTTAAATTATTAAGCTTAATCTGGAGATGTATTTAATGGGTTTGTTCTTAATGTGTTTGTTCTTCAGTGTACCTCCATTGATATGTACATTCATTGCAATATTGATACTCATATGTTGATAGTTGCAAATATTATGATGCAAGCTAATAATATTGGTATATTCTTTGCCCTTTATTATACACAATATGGACTTAAATATCGGTTTAACTTTCAAGAAAACTAGAATAAATGATAAAATTCTGACTATTGTTCTAAAGGGTTCCAACTTTGGACCTACCCACCCCACCCTCTTTTCAGAACATGGAACGTGACTTCACAACAGATGTTTGAAACTTCCGCGTGCACATCGCTGAACGCTGCTGCAGATGACTATTTTGCGCTTGACGTTTTGGCGATAGCAAAGAGCGATAGAGTTTATTTAATTATCTAGGTGTGATTTTTTTCACGAACAACTTGTATTGAAGTTGTGGTTCAAAATGAATTCATTCAATCTTTGTCGGATGGAATTGTTCAAAGTGTGGGCGGAGCAGATTCATGGAAATCGTCATGTCAAATATTATCGAAGATAGTCAGATAAGGAGTAATTAAAACATATTTTTTTCAATATTGGCATACTCAAAATATCAAAGTTCAGAATATGCAGTTGATGAACAAACCCATTGATTACATTTCAAGATAATGCATTTTTTATATAGTTGTAAATTTTATCATGAGTAAGTAGCACACTCGTAGCACACATTGGTTTATAACTTGTACTAAATATATATAAACGAGATTTGACTAGGTACCCCTCGGTACCCAAAGCTCAAATTTTTTGGAGTACTATTTTATAAGGTGATCTTCCAAATACAATCAGTTTTCGACTACATCAGGGCCCGCCTACCCTATTTTCGAGCCATTGAATATGACGTCACAAAAACGCATGATGGGGTACATATAACATTGACTATTTCGACTCGAGATTTGACTAGATACACCTGGAAACCCAGCACTGAACTTTTCAGGAGTACTATTTTATAATGTAATCTTCGAAATTCAATCGGTTTTAAACCCTGCCAGGGGCCGCCTACCATCTTTTCGGGCCGTTCAATATGGTGTCACAAAACCGTTCGATGGGCTGTATATAATATTGACATTTTCGAATCGAGGTTATTTGGCTAGGTACCCCTCAGTACCCAACGCTGAAATTTTCAGAAGTACTATTTTATAAGGTAGTCTTCAAAATACAACCAGTTTTAGACCCCGCCAGGGTTGGACGCTAGTACAATGTGTTCCTATAGTGGCTTATGGAGTCTCCATAAGACACTATAGGAACACATTGCACCAACGTACCTCCAATATAGGCGCGTTTACCCAAGTGTAGAATTGTGTACTAAGTTACACATCTCGGTTATTTGCAAATTTGGCATCTCCAATTTCATCGCGCAACAAATTCAAAATCATTTGACTGTATCTCGAAAACGCTACAAAAACAACTCAAACGCACTACGTATTGCTATGGCTACTAACTATGCTACAAAAACAAAAACAAATCTGGGAAGCATTGCAAAAACAAACAAACAATCCCAGGCAGTGGGACACAGAAAAACACACGACATCACCTGTTGCTTGATTCAAGTAAATTTCAATGTGAATGTGCTGTGTGACACAAACACAGGTTGAGGGAGAGACACAGTAAAGGGGACAAAGTGATCATTAAATAAATCCAGCTATCCAGTTCTCAATAAACGGGAACAAATTTGCATGAGAATTAAACCAGATTCATTTAAATTAGCTTCCAAGCTCAGTGGGAGGGGGGACAAGCTACAGCGAGATGACACTGTTTAATAGTGACCCTCTCTCTCCATTAATAACCCGCTTTGGAGGATCACCGCCAAATGAGTCGAATCGAGCGTTCTTCGTCAAATGTGTGTGATTATTTATAAGTATTTATGTGCTGAAAATGGTTATCTTAGTTGCATGATATGGTGACAATGAATGCGACTAGTCAAAACGAAAGCGACATTTCGCAAATACCTGGAGTTTCGCTGGTTGATTTCGGGGGCTTCTTGACGCCGAAGGTGTACCGCGGTGCCGATTTTACCAGCATTTTGTCCGACTTTTCCACGTTGTACTCTCCGGGTGCCGGAGTGAGGTACTTGGGAATTTCCTTGGGTCGACTCTGCAGACAGTAGGCCGGAGGGGTGTCTTTGCCTTTGCATCCCAGCCCGGTGATGTTGTACAGTGGGCCCGGGCTGAAGGACTCCGTTCGGGGTCTGTGGCGTTGACCGAAGCTGTATGCGGGTGCGGCCGCCCGCTTCGAATCGACAACTCGCGTACCTAAAATGGAACACAAGATTATCGGTTTTGGTGTGTATAAGATGAAGTCATTTGCATTCGTGTCTAGCTGCTGTTAGTCGCTTATTCCGAGCAGCGGGTGTTGTTGTTCAGTGGCACGTTAGGGACGTGGGTGTCCCCTCAGCTGGGTACGGCGATGCATTAGATTCAGCGGACATAAATATTTATTAATCCCTACTGTAACAGGAAATAATCGCTTGTCTGTTGGAAAAGCATCGTGGACGTGTCAACACCATTTACGGTATTGAACGTTTATTTGGAGCGTGTTTTTGTTGGATGAGTGATTGAGTTGTCTGTTTTATTTGTCACTTTAAATGTAATCTAGCCATAAACTATTGATTACATTTGATGACAAATATCTGAGCACTTTCCCGATATCTTCCTAAGTCATTGATTCCCATGAATGAAACATACTTTGCCTAAATAAAAACACTCACGTTCCATGCAACCACAGGTGGGAGTCAACCCACTTACCGTTCGCCATTTGTTTTCATTATTATTAAAACCTACTTAAGCCAATCGTCTGCTCTTGAAAATTCGCTAATGTTCGTCATTTGAATACATTATTTCCCCCTATTTATGGAGTCTGTTTGTCTCGAACAAGATTCTTCTTCCCCCACCTGCGCACCTCATTTAAGAATTTACCTTACAAGGAGTTACACACCGCCGCTGGGTACACTTCCGACCCACGCAATCTGACTTCCATTCCAAGTCTTGTGTTTATATCATTATTTAAAGTCTCCACCCCTCCCCGCTCTGTATGACTCACCTAGCAGCTGTGGTAGCAGATACTGCGGTCCTGGGCCACGATGTTCCGCCGCAATGGGGCCACGCCGCTTGGTCGGCGTCCAGGGTCGCTGTTCGAATCCACCCATCACGCGGTACGATTCTTTGTACTTCTTCTGGACGACGCTGGTGCTCTTGCCCTTACGGCTCACCGAGGTGATCGTCGATGACGTCAAGCGGCCGCTCTTGGTTGCGCTGGTTAGGACGGTCTGCGGATTCCGATTATGAAAGAATAACAAATTGGGTGATTGTTAGTTTACAGTGGTGGCTAACAACTTTAATTCGCTAACGCATTTACCATTCTGGAACTGATAATTTAAAATCGAAAATAAGGAACTGAAAACGAGAAAAGAATACAAATTAAAACGTCAACTGTTGAGCTCTCTGTTGCCAACGACAGTGTTTTGTGATAATGACGATGTTTTAGCATGACGGTAGATTAGCAACGTGCCGATCGGTGAAGTGGGTGGCTTTGATGGGTCATTTAAGTTTAGATTGGTTTTTAGTTCGATTTGTTTTTGCATGCATACAAGCAACTCTCCCTCACACGATAGTGAAGTGATAATTGCGTTGAGATTCCAAGGCAAGTTTAATGAAAATTTACGAGAAAAGTGATGAAATTTCAGGCATACTCGGAAAGTATGGATTGAACAAGGGTTGAAATTACATTAAATTCTTTTAAAGATAGTCATCAGTCGCATCAGGCTATACACGAAACGAAAATCAATTATTTAATTCATGTGTTTCACTTATACATTTTTGCCAAAGCATCAGCCTTATACATTCCATAAGACAAACCACATAGGTCCTATTAGAATGCATAAAAAGGTATGTGTGACCGCTTATACATTTCATTTGAAACATGATCTTTATTAACTTTTTGCAAGGCGTCTGCTTATTAGTTGACTTATACATTTTATGAATAATCAGCAATGGAAATTTGCCAAAAGGTATAAGGAAATTTCTATCCGTGTACGTCCTCCCATCTAGTGAATACTATTAAGTACAAGGACTAATCAATTCTGCACACTGTGCCGAAACACATCACGGCACACTGCTCGGCACGCCAGGGTACAAATTGACAAGAATGACACAGAATATATTATAAAACGGCATCACTGTTTTTTGTTGACGATTTTCCAATAGTTGATAAGGTTTCGCATTTTGTTGACAGGCGCTGATCTTCGCTTCAGGATGAATCTAATAAATCCATCGGACTAGAAGTCAAACCTATAGGACTTTGCTCGGAAGCTTCCTGCAGCCAGTACTTCGTCTAATTATCTGCAAGAGTTGTTAAAGTGTGGTGATAAATAGCAGCACCGAGATCATAATCAGCAACAGCAATAACTAGACCACCGACAAACTGATATGACACTTAATTTTGGCTTATGTCCGAAATTCGTAAACGGTCAGTTAGCTTTCAGATTTTGAGGAAAGAGGGTGTGCGTCGGTCTTGCTCCTGATTTGATGCGTTGTTTTGTCGAGGTTCGTCGCAGTTTAGCTGGTGTCCTGCAGTGTGATTTGTATTGGAGTGCTTTTTTCAATCAATAAATTTATACCTACATGCCTATTCAAGTTAAATTAAATAGTATTCAGCATTCTATGCATGCGCGTAGCAAAGCGCATTTTGTTCTAGTTTGTGTGTGTGAAAAAAAAAACGGACTGAGAGGTTTAGAATCTGATTGATGCTGAAATGCGAAACATTGGTTTGGTTTGTGGTTTTAGGATTCGATATTGTGTTTCAGAAGATAATTGATCATGTTAGCATTGGAAAGAATAGATGCTTGATTACAGCTAATCTTGAGCCAACGGAACTAAAGAAGAAGAAAATCAAGAAGTGCATATCCAGAACAACATGTGAAAAGGGCATACAAGCTTTTTGCAAACAAACCTTTGTAAGCCCTTTTCTCACCAACCGAGGGTCGCCCACGCAAACCAGCAATATCATCGGGAAGGGTAAAGTGCCCCCTACCCGGTGATGTTAAAGGTTTGCGTTGGTGTCATATGGGTGGCGAGAAAAGGGCATAAGAAGGTTTGTTTACAAAAAGCTTGTATGCCCTTTTCACATGTTGTTCTGGATATGGTAAAACAGGGCTAAACATGATTTTTGGAATGTTGGTGTGAGTGCGTTGCTTCCGAAGAAAAAAAAAATACACGGTTGCGGCAGAGACGTCGTGTTAGTGTTAAAAAGCATTCCGTTAAGTGGTATTTGCTGTTTCACTTTCTTTGGCAAAGCCCAAGGATGTGTATTCTTGAACGGGCTGTTATGAGGGTGTTGCGGAGTGACGTGGCTAACAAGCGGAATGACATCAACACAGATAAGTTATTGATTATTATTATATTTTAAAGGTTGTGCTTCATACGAAGTGCCCTAGTGTTTCGTCTATTGCAAGACCAGATTTTGTATATTTATCTCAAACCACCATAGACCATTGACTTCCGCAACACCGTCAAGTGTATGTAAGAATTTGCGTGAAAGTGTATGGGTTGGTTGTTTGTGTAGGTGCACGTTTAGACCGAATCATTCTTAGGACTCGAGAGTGTGAGGCTCGAGCCGTGTTTATTTGCTGAAAGCGAAAACAGAGAGAGTAGATATTACAAGAGGAATAAAAAGAAAGCGATGTGACCTTCCCTTTCTTTTTAGGGATCATCCATAAATGATTTAGCATTTGAGGAGGGAGAGCCGCTATTAGTTGTTGTGATCGGCTATGTTAAATACGCTACGAGGTGGGACGGGGGGTTTAAAATTCGTCAATAATATGCTACGTCATTTATGGATGGCCTTAGCATACAGTGACAGAGTACGTGGCACGGCGGTTAGAGCTGGATTCACATAGAACAGTATAGAATGGAATGCGAGGATTGGACTCTCGACTCTCCAAGGGTTGGTTGGAGCTCTTGGTTAGAGTGTAGATACGATGGTATGTACTTGGAGTTGCTTACTTTGTACGCTGACGTTTGAGCGTTCAGAGAAGTGTTTTAGGTTTGGAGAACTATGTTGGTGTTGGTGCGTTAGGGTCTCAGTTGCACAGTGCTGTCGTGATTTTGTAAACCATCATTTTTCAAACTTTTATTCTCATTTCTGTTACCTACTTCTAATTTCATGATCATTTAAATTAATTGTTGGTTGGTTTTATAATTACTTTTCCTTTTGTTCCTTATTCATGCTTCTATTAAATAATATTTTGAAACCTAGACCCGGTTCTGCGCACAACTGTGTTAGCACTCAAAACCATAGGTCTATTTTGAACCGTTCAGGAAAGTCGACATTATATTGGTGGTGCACAGCTACGCGAGAGGGCAGCAAGTAGCAGGAATTCGTCATCAAATGTATTCTGCTGTTCTATAAACAGGTCTGAGTCATGAAATCTTATTATTTTATGTACTGAATTAAAAAAAAAAACAAGTGGTGCAAATGATGATACATTTATTAAATCCACTTTTTCATTTAGGTTTTCAACCAGGCTGCATGTATATTTTCCCATAATTTTCATTGTTACAGGTATTTCATTTTCTGTAAATAATACAAACAAATGGATCATGGTGGTAAAAAACGATCCTTAAATGCTTGCTGTAAAACGAATTGGTTAGATCTTAGTCAAGTGATTAAAGCTTTCAATTGTGTTATCAAATTAAGATCTGAATCAATCCCAAATTTTCTTAGTAATTTTCGAAGGCAAATCAATATGTGAACAAAGAAAGCCCTTGAGAGCTGGGCTGAACGCTGCTTTATTTGGAACTTCAGTTATTCCCTGACGATGATAGGATTGCATTTTCAAGTAAACTTAGTTGAACTAACTCGTTTGTGATCATCAATCTAATTATAAGCCAAGCATGCGTTGTTACATGATACCCAGGCATGGAAAATCATTTACATTCATTTCATGCATTCATTTACATTCATTTGCCCCAAACTTTTTTCATCAACAGAATTCCGCTAAATGATGTACGGAGCTTTTGTAGGTTTTGTTATTAGCTACAACTTTTGTAAAAAACTCAAATCCGTATCTCTTATGCATGACGAACCAGAGCAAACAGAATACACTACTGTTTTTCAGTGAATGTATTTTACATTCACTGAAAAACAGTAACGAGTTCTGCCCGCTCTAATTCGTGATGCATAAGAGATACAGATTTGAGTTACCGGCAAAAGTTGTAGCTAATAACAAAACCTACAAAAGCTCGATACATCATTTAGCGGAATTCTGTTGATGAATAAAGTTAAGGGCAAATGAATGTAAATGAATGCATGAAATAAATGTAAATGATTTTCCATGCCTGATGATACCCAAATTATTAAAAAAAGCTGTAGTTTTATCCGTCTTAATTGCAAAATTATCCGATAATACTTCTTTAGTGAATATTAATCCAGCATGTCGCCATCTATTTCTATTTATTCTAATTGTTAATAAACCACAATAAAATTTTGTAGACATATAGAGTTCAGAAGAACAGCAGAATCTATTGGATACCAGTATTACAAAAACAATGTGGAACCCATCGATTTATATCATTATAGTTTATTTTCAGGTTTTTGTTTATGCAACATCAATGGACGTTTACCATTATGATTTTCTATTTTAAGCTTACCTCATACATACATTATTCTGTCAGGAATATAAGGTTAATGGGTGTAACGTCGGCCTAAATGCCCCTAATTTGGGCTCATACATAAATTCAGAAATCGACTAAGTTTTCTATAGCGACCAGGAATATCCATTGGGACCGTCCCAATGACGCGTTCATGTAGATAAAATTGATAAATAGCAGATTTTTGACTATGGGCCCAATCTTGGATCCCTAGGCCAACATTAGAGCCATTTCCATATTTGTATTTTGTAATATTGAAATATTCGTTTCTCATAACACAGTTCAGTTTCGAATGCCTATGGATACGGTTGTGTTTTAAGTTTGTTCTCTGTTTTGTGCGTGCGTTCGCATTCATAGTTTTCGGTTGCATTTGCCGGATTAGCGCTGGCACTCTGCCTCCCGGACGGTTATACGTGTGTGATTGGTTTTCTCGCTTTCCGAGAAGTTTTAGAATCGAAAAAGAAAACATGATTCATCATGTTTGCAAGCAACAGAAGATTTGACGCTATCTGCGTTGTTTGATTTTTTCTCCCGGACCAGAAACTTGTGCCATCGCGAGTGATAATTTTAATTTAAGTTTATTTACGCGGTGATGATGTTGGTTCACTCGCAACTATTTCTGAAAAAAAAAAAAAATTAAGTGTGTTCGATCGAAAGTGTACCAAAAGTGCTCCTAAACGTGTTTCGCAGTTGGATGTGAAGAAATTCGTGCATTCCCGGTTTATTGTGGAAATTCCGTATCACAAAATTGCCCAT